GCAGTTGCTGACAAAACCTTCAGCTCAGTCTGAAATCTCTGATCACCGTTTGACCAGTCAGCTCTGTCTACAGCTTCTTCTTCATCTTTATCAGTTCCCTGTGTCAGGGGGTCCAGCACCAGTGGGGGACTGGTGGCCCAAATTACATCAGAATTCAAAACTCTGGTGGACTCTGTCAGCCAGTCCAGAGACTCCTCCTCCTGTGTAGGCCAGTCAGTGTGGCGCTGCTCTGGGTTCCAGCCATAGTCCCACAGAGGTCCAGCCTGGCCTGTGACCCAAAGAGAAGGAGGAGTGACAGCATATTGGTCGTCTGCTTCCTCTCTCTTCTCACATGAATAGTTATCAGACATGAGTTCAAAGCCTTCACTGCAATAGCACTCAAAACCGCCTTCATAATTCACACACATCTGCTCGCATGTTCCAGGAATCTCGCACTCATTGATATCCTGGCATTGCCTGGGATGCTCAGGCACTAAGGAATAGCCCAGATGGCAGTGGCAGATATGAGAGCCTGGGGTGTTCTCACAAGCATGTTCACATGGGTCATTTATACACTCGTCAATATCCTCACACTCACCCCCATCGTTTATATCATAGCCCTCGTGACACTGACATTCAAATGTCCCCACGGTGTTCACACAGATCTGCTCGCAAGGACCTCCGAGGCACTCGTCTACATCGAGGCAAGTGCGTTCATCTGGTGCAAGCGTGTATCCATCAGCACAGTCACAGTAGACATCAGCACCAGCTGCCATGCAGAAATGCTCACATCCACCATTATCCTGGTCACATAGGTCGTGTGATATAGAGGAATGAGAACAAAGAGGAGTTTCTTTGGTCCATCCCACTGAGCCATCTTCCCTCGTCATACATGAAACCTCTTCTTTGGCGCCTGAAGGACAGCGTACGGTAGCAACAGATCCAACGGGTACATGAGTCAGCAGTGCGCTCAGAAGGTTAAACGGTGTGGTGTAGGTAACATTGCCTTCTCCCTCACTCCACAGGGGAGGGCACATGCCTGCGTAGGCATAATGGCACAGATACCCATCTGCAGAGACTGCACAAGCACTGTCTATCCATTTAAAATTATGATCCTGGTCTTCAGTGCTGTAGCCCATAAACACACAGCGAGGCACTGAACACGAGTCAGCGGAGTCCGGGTTCTGCCAGTCGGTGTACTCTGTGTCCTGGTCACCAATAGTCCAAGAGAAACCTCGCAGCGGGCGCGTGGCATTGCACTGGCGAGGCTGGCGCTGAAGGCCAATCCATACTTGGACAGTAGTGCGTGAGTGGCGCAGATCCACAGTGGAAAAGAGAATGGCAATAGCGGCTGCGTCCACCTTCCGCTTGATGGTGGCCAGGTCGCCACCTTTTTCTTTGCAGGCCCTCCATGACTCCAAAAAGGTTTTGGGTTGAAAATAGACAACAAAGCAGCCATCTGTGTTACAGAGTGCATCTCTTTGTCTCAGGGTCTGGGCCAAGACTGAAGAACATCCAAAAAGCAAAGCCAGCAGGGAGGTTAAGAGGAAAGCACTGCTCACCCGGGAGCCCATTCTTTATTTTAAACCGGCTTTATAGATCCTCTCTGATCCTGATTTTCTTTACACTTTTATCATCTGCCTTTAAAAGATTTTTCTTAATGTGATGTTTTAGTCTTGGTCTGAAATTTCCTCCCTGAATTTTAACTTCTTTTCCTCTGTGGTCTTCACTCTATACTGCTGAAACAGATCAGCACTGGAGTGTTTGCAGGCTCAAGACTTCAGGAAGCAGAGAGGGAGGAGAGAAGAGGAAATAGGAGTAAGAAGGAGGGAGTTATAGCAACAAGCAGGACGAGGAGAAGGGCAAAGAGGGAGGGAGTTAAAGGGAGATTAATATGTTATTGAAAGGGGAGGGGTGAGAGGGAACCCTGTGAATGTGTATGTCAGAGTTGGGGGAGGAATAGCAAACTGATTTCTTTTTCAGAGTATGTCATATGGTTTTCATAAGTTCCATCTGTGGACATAGTTGGTACTCTGCCATTTGGACAAGCAGACAGA